AAAGAACAACAAACACTTAACTAAAAGAAAAGTCATTCCATTTCTAAATAAGGGAGTGTACATTTTGAACAAAAAAAAATTCACAGGCCCGGAGCTACTTCTTCATTATCGGAAGGCACTTCAACGATACCCGAAGGCCCTGCCTCGCCCTCAGAATCTGGCTCACCATCAGCAGCATTAGCCATCTCCTGAGTTATGCGCGAAGTGGATATGGCACTGATATCGAGCTCGGGGTACGTATTCCGGATCATCCATTAGCTCAGTTTAAAACCCCTTCTGTACGAGTCCACCATCAGGTCATCAAAGCGCGGCGAGGCGATGTACTCATCGACGACATTCTTCTTGGCATCTTCGATGCCTTGAGAAAAGATCTGCGTCCTCTCCCTAATGTCCTCCTGAAGGTACTCAACCTGATGTTGCAGATCCAGGCTCAGGTCCGCCATGTGCTTCACCACTACTCCCATGGCCTCGACATCTCTCTGAGACCTCGCCTGCCTGATCTGTGCAACGCGAGCAGCCTCCTCGGCAGCGCGAGCAGTCGCCTCAGCAGTTCGGGAAGTCGTCTCGGCAGCACGGAGAGCCTCTTCGGCAGCTCTCGCCTGCCTCGAGCTCCTTTCCACTTGGGCCGCCAAGGCATGGATAGAAGAGTTCACCTACCAAAAGGAAAGAACAAGTGATCAAAAGAACGACAGCAAGAGGGATAAAAGCAAAAAGCTCGATAAAAAATCAGACTTACCACTATGGCATGAGTGACAGCACGACAGGCCACCTGGTGCAAAGGGAGATCAGTCCACGCCGCGACCTCCTCGGGGAAAATGGCCTCCCTACTCTTCTGAAGAGCGTGGTTCGGCGACAGTACACTCCTGAATTCCCCTAGGGCCCCCGAGCCTGAGGGCCCAGCTCGTGTATAAGCAGACCCAAAGTAAGCAGGAGCACCAGAGTAGGTGGGAGCCCCCGTGTAAGTAGTCTCAGCATAAGGGGCCCCTGCCGCTTCTTGCATTGGAGGAGCCATCTCGGGCTCCCTGGGCGGATCCTCTGACGGGTAGTCTGGTACCTCGGGCTTCGCATCCCGGGGCAGCTCGGCACGAGTTCGTTTGGCGACTCGTTTCCTCCTCTTCATGCCTTGAAACAAGTGCCCACCACGAGTCCTTTCTGAGTCCATCACACCTGCAAAAAAAAAGAGTTCGGCATCAGAAAAAACAAAAGAAACAGAGCAAAACAGAACCTCTAAGTAAGAAACCTACCCGAACTCAGGCCGGTCGCAATGAGCTTGGCCTCCGTCAGATACTGATGGCACTTTAGCCCAAGCCGCACCCATTGCCGGAGGCCCTTCACCGTCTCTTTGTCAAGCGTAACACCGGAGTTAGGGGCGGCCATCCCCCACCCGGTCTGAAACGGCCACCCTAGTACACTTCGCACCCCGAAGTAGTCCCGCTTCCACGCCGGGACCTTGTTGGGAAGTTCATGTAAAAGCTTAAAACCCGGGCGATGAGACATGTAATACGCCTGCCTACGCCCGGGATGGGGACCCGCTTGCTTCTTGAGCATTAAGATGGAAGAGAAGATCTCCAAGTCTAAAGGAAAGCCTTATTCGCAAAATAGGGAGATTGTCCCCACCATGTTACGAATGGAGTTCGGGTGAAGCTGGACGACAGTAACGCCGAAGTGGTTCATGACCTCGACAAGGAGAGGGTGGAAAGGCAGGCACAAGCCCACGGCGAGCTGCTCCCGGAATATCATGATCTCGTCAGGACCGTGCTCCCAAGGGAAACTGCCCGAAGGTATGAAGTAGGCGTACTCACCAGGCAGGTTAAACTGAGTAATAAGGGATTGAAGCCCCTCGGGCGTCATGGTCGAGGGCCCAAACTTGTCTAACATCCGACCTCGACGAGAGGTGGACGCCAAACCTCCCGAGGCGACTCGGCCTACGGGCTCGAACTCTTCCTCAAGTTCTACCTCAGGTTCGCTAGAACCATCGGGGGATGCAACCCGGTTTGTAGAACCTGCATCGGACCCCCTTGAAGAACTGCCTGAGCTATCCGAGCTAGACATCGGGAAGAGAAAATGGATTACAAGAAAGTACTCACCCGGAAAAAGGCTTGAACGGACTGTGGAAACTTGAACACGAGCTAAAGATCTTGAGTGCGAACTAAAAGCTTGGACGCGAGCTCAAGAAGCAAAGCGCAGAAGTGACAAAACGACTGGGGTCCCTCACTATTTATACTCATAGTAACCGAGAAACAACAGCTCAGATCAAAGCCAATCCGACGGCCCGCAGTCACGCTGACCACATGTCCACTAAGACCGAGAAATGATTGGCACACGTCTTTCTGAAACTGACAGAACGCTGGCGCACATCTTTCTGAAACTGACAAAAAGTCAGCGCACGTCTCCTCGCATTAAAGGCAGCAGCGGCGCGTCTTTTCAAGTTTGAAAAGACCCGATGTCACGTCTCCCAGCGGCGCGCTTTTTTGAAATTTGAGATAAGCGCGCGCCACCACGTCTGTCAGCATTTTCAGGCAGATTGGCGCATTTTTCGTCTCTTTGGCGCTCGAGAAAACCCGGAAAAATCCAGACGAGCACCTCACACTATCAGTCAAAACCAGTTCGAAGTACGGGACAAATCCACCTGCCACCTCGCGAACTCCTCGCGCCAAGGCAAGTCCCTTGAACGAGGAGTGGGGGCAATTGATGAAGGAAGATTTGGCCCGACCTCGTAATCACTCAACACGTGGCAAAGGCAACAACTCAACACAACAGCACGCCCAAAGCGCGAGCACCGATTTTTGGGAAGTATCATGATCATCCAATAAGAAGGGTTTCAATTTATTCAAATGAACGATTTGAACACCTATTGATTCTAACAACTGATTGCAGAGTTGATCATTCGGMCCTTTCAATTCATAGATGTGGATCTCGGACCTATGAATGGGGATATTCCCGAAACTCACAAAGAAAAAAGGAAGTGACTTAAACAAAAAGAGAAGCAACTTGGACAAAAAGAGAAGTGACTTGGACAAAAAGAAACGAACCAGCAGTCCGAACTCCCTACTAGGGGCCCGAACTCTCCCTTAGGCCCCGAGCCTCACACAAGGCAACAACCCGAACTGGCCCATCCCATGGCAGTTCGGGTCACTCCCTTATTCGAACTCAAAACTTCACCTCGCTCACCACTCCAGCACTTTGCCTCCAGGACGCCAAACTGAACAAACGTACCATACCTGACACCGAGGAGGCCCGTATCCAAGGGCGACGCACCTGAGTAACTTGGGATCTGATGCTTGACAGCCGCACTTCAACGGCCACTTGCCACCGTCATCGCCAGCCACAAAGACGACTCCGACAAAGAGAGCAGTGGCGGTTCTATCCAGCAGAAGGGATGACACCCGAATTGGCAGGAGCTCAGAGATAATCATACCCGTTCTGATAGAAGCTTAGAAGTGAGTGCACGAGGTGGTTATAAAAGGCTCCCTACCCCCCAAGAACAAGGTATGTGAACTTTGCACCATCTAGTTTTATCTTGCCTTTGAGAGAATTCTAACTTGAGCTTCGGAGCAATCACACCGGGTTCCCCCCGGAGTTTCCTCATCTTCTCCGTTTCAAGTTCCCTGTAGCTCCGTTCAGAGGCAAGGTCGTTGACAGATAGGACTGGCCGGATTGCACACCATCAAGTAATATGTCACGAAAATAAACAATTTCTAGATTTATTGCACACAATTTTAAGGAAAAAGTTGGATTTTATTCCCTTTCCATCTATATATTCCAAGAAGCATATGGCTATTACTAGATATTCCCTACCCTATTGCAGTGCAAGTTCAAAATACCACAAAGTATCAATGCAAAATATATTTTGCAATACTTAGGGCCTATTCATTTTATGGATTTTGAGAGGGAAAATTAGTCAAGAGGATTTTGATTCCTATTTACCAAAATAGCCATGTTCATTTTTTCAGATTTATGTGGGGTCCATAGAAAGTGATATCCATCCCGAAGGTGGATAATTAACTTTCCCACCTGGTGGTGGGGGAATTGCCAACACTTTGATGGGGCAAATTTGTCCCTTTCAATAATGATTTTGTATGGCTAAAACAATAATTATCTTATTTCCCTAGAAAATAAAAGAACATGGATAAATGCATTTACCTGAATAAGTATTTCACAGGAAACACTTACTTGAATAAATAACCTCCCAAAAAGTGAACAGAACCTTAGAGTTAATGCTAATAATTTGCAAATTTTGAGACAAAAAAACAAAAAAACTATGTAAGTGATTAGGCAATACTCAATTTTTGAATATATTCACACTTTAAACCTTGGAGTTTCCTGATTCGAAGAATATCAACCAAATCAAGCTCAGGCTCATTGAAAATTTTGCAAATGTCTATCCTACCTGACCCAAGTTGCACCCCTACCTAAGGCCTTGTTTGTTTGCAGTACTATTTCATCTGCATTGATGCAAAAGCATGGGAGTGCAAATAATGTTAATGCAGATTCTGATTCATTTTCTTTTCAGGTTTTGCCTTGTTTTGTTTGTTTGCATTGTAGATGAAGTAAAATAAAACCTGAAGCTGATTAAAGTAAAACCCAAAGCAATAAGTGGACCAGAATTAACATTTTTCTCATTTTGCACTTTCATGTATTTGTACTAGTGCAAGTGAAATTGCATTGCAAACAAACAAAGCACAATGCCTTGTTCTGAATTGCGTTCCATAGCATCGAGATTTTAGATTTACACACATTTGAAGTCCCATCGGGTGAAATTATTATCAATCTCAATTCTCACGTTACTTGATCCTTCCTACATTAGTTTTTCCAGATGCCATTATTTTCTCTCTTCCTCCATGTCTTTCTGGCTTTGCCATTAACATGGAGAGCAGCTCTTAGAAAAGCTTCCTTCTAAGGAGTCTTAAATGAATGCAATGAACTTAAGAATTATATAATTTCAGTAAAGAACCCAAGGATAAGGCACCCAGCATGTTGCAAAAAACACTTGAAATAGAGAACTTTGTAACATGAACCAGGCGACTTCCACCAAACTGGAACCATTTTAACTTCAGGACCAACCTTACCAAATGTGTTTTTCCTGTTTCTGTTTGTTATGTGCAAGACATCTGTTGAGAAACTTCTGACATACATAGGTGAGAATAACCACCAATCATTAGATGTACATACAAGGGCTTCATTTCAGCTTTCTTTATATAACTGTCTTAAACATGTATCTGCTGAAAAATTTATGTAAGCATGAACTTTGAAGGCAACAAGTCGTTGCAGACTTCGCAAAGGATATAGCAGGAGACTTCAAGTCATTGCAGACATGATGAAACCTGTGATATCAGCATTCAAAAGTTGGCAGGGATCTAATAATCAACCCAATCAATGCCTACTAAATTGCCTCTAATAACATATATTTATATGTACAATACAATGTGGAACTATAAGTTGGCTAAAATCAAACTTTGAAGTTTTTTGAAAAAATATTTCCAAAAATAATGGATTTATTTATTTATTTTTTTGAGAGAGAGGGGAAAATGATGGATTTAATTATCAGACATCAAGTATGAGAGACCCCATCTTACAAGATTAGAAAGGCAAAATTTTTTAACATAGTGGGAACTCCTTTATTCCATTGCCAATCCTGTATCTGATTGTCATGCAAGAGGATATATCCCAAGAAATGAACGCTTTTAGCTCTGGCCTTCTAGTATATCTGATTACCAAACTGAGTATTTTTGTACATCTCTTGCATGAACATTGGACAGCTTACTGTTGCTTCTTTATTGAGTTTTGCATAATCATACGTGTATCTTCATTACTCACATAACACATTAATGCAATATCTAACTATGGATACATTTATGTACATATATTTATATTTATATACATGACCATCAAAATCAAACAAATTAAAGAAAGAAATTGTACGAATTCTGATAACCAGAAATCATCTATTGGTTTTATTTAAATCAGTGCTATTATGTGTATACGTGTTGTGCATTCATGTGCCTACATGTAACCGTATAAACTACATCCCATAAGGCCATAATATGCAAAAAAAAAACTCAAATTTTGCTTGTTTGGTAAATATTAGAAAATAGTAATATTTTTTTGAAGATAAAGAAAAAATTTTATTAAACAAAAAAAGGAGGTACAGGAAAAGGTGATAAGCAATCACCTGAGGGAAAAGAAACTCCTAACGAAGACCCAACAAAAGTAAAAACAAAACCTGGCCCAGGCCAAAACGCCCCAAACCTCACCAACTAAACCCCTTACAGTAGTAATATTTTAAAAAAGGAGGTACAAGAAAATAGTAATATTTTAAATAAGTCGGTTTTCAGATTCTATCAGACTACTGGAGTTACCGATTTACAAGATTCTAATTATTGAGGCCGCCTACTGTAAATAAGTAAATAAACAAGTTCTACAAAAAGGACCACGCACCAGAAGAGAGGCATGCCGTTATGAATTTACTTTTAGGATCCTGATCCACTCCACATCTGTTTTAGAGGCAGTTTATGCTGATTCACCAAGGAAAGATGATCTTCAGCAGCTCTTTCAATACAACCAAGTTCTTCCCCAACATTTTCTTTCCTAGAGTAACACAACATCAACATCCACTGGCTGCACTCTTGAATCTTGACTGCAGTTAAGTTAAGATCATCCCTATTTGGAACCTTTTCCAAGGTGAAGAAGGGAAAAATAAACCATGCAACATAATTCAAGAAAAAATCAATCATCATATGATTTGATCCACGAAAGCCTCTACATAGCCCCAACCATCTTCAACATCAGGTCCCACCCAGTACCCGTACATGACTGTGTAGGTACTATAGTCAACATTTGAATGACTAGAAATAGATCCAAGAATATGTCTACTGGATGCCACCAAAAGGCCACAATGACCACAATCCACAGTGATGCTGCTTATTCTCAAGCAGCCAGGAACAAGAAGCTTGATTCCTGCAAGTGTACAGTGAATTTGTTAATGTATTTGTACATGGAAGAACCTAGAGGGAATTGACCATGAATATATGCATTCTGTCAGTAAATCAACTTCGAAAAGACAATACATAGCACCAAATAATTTAAGTTGAAGATTGAAGGCAGGACTAGATGACACTGCAAAGCTGCTTCTTGAGGACAGTTGCAGTTTCCCACATGCAAGAACAATCCAGTAAATCCATTCTCAAGGAACCAACCAAGACTACACTTAACATTAATTGTTCAGACAAGCAACTTCTCAAGAGATAGGCATCTATATCTAATCTCTTTGGCTTAAAATTACTTAAATAAAGTTGCTAATATGTTTTGAAGAAATAAAAAATAATGAAAAAGAAATTAGGAGAAAAGACAAACAAAGCAAGAAATTATTGCTTTGCTTCTTAAATACATTTCCAAGTTCAACACCAGAATAGGAACATTGGGAGGAAAACAGTCTTAACATTTAATCATGATGATATATTTCTGCAAAGGGATCAGACTAGGAGACCATTCCTGTAACCTTACCTAAAAATATAGAAAGGAGTAAATTTTCAAATTACAACAAGGACTAACCTGAGTAAAACAGTCCAAATAATGGGAATATTTTTGCTGAACTAAAAGGTTAGCAACAATAGAAGAGTCAAGAAGGAACCTGCCCTAGTGGTTGTATGGTTTGATAAGCTGACCAAAACTGATTTCTTCGAGCATGTTTCCTGTTGGGAGTCAGTCCCATCAAATTGTAAGGTCAACAGAAAACTATGTAGAGAACAATTTGATCGTGTAAACATCAAATAAGAAATGCATGCAATCATCCAATAAGACATTATGAAAGCGTAAGGTTGAACTATGAAATTACATGTAGCAAGCTGCAGATATGCATTTAGCAATCCTTGAAATACTAAGGCTCGGTTTGGTAAGAGTACAGATACAAATATGTACAGTGTTGGCAACTTTAGAGTCTGTCCAAGAGAGGGAAAATTTTATGGGAAGTGGTCCCGGCAGCAGTAGTTTGGTCTACTTGGGGAAGAATCTATTCTTGGTCTGCAATGCATAAACAGCTAAAGGATATTCCTTTTAGTTCTTTTTTTTTATCACAGAAATCTTTTTGTATCTAGTTCAGACATGTAATCAGCTTTTGCTTTTCTCTTCCCTGCTTCAATTTTTTTCTGAGCAGGGTTTGTAAATCTTTTGCTTCTCTAATACATTACCCTTTTCTCAAAAAAACAAATATGTACAGTGCAAATACATACAAAATACAAGGTTTTGTACTCTGCATATTTGTATTTGTACTCCTTCCAAACTGAGCCTAATATGCCAACCTAGTCAAAAGTAATTAAACATAACCACACCACACCATTGTGGAGAAGGGATAGAAAAAAAGATGAAGGACAAAATCAGTCCACCCAGAAGAAAGTCTATTAGACATGAAGCATATAGATGAGTTGCGTTTGACTGAATAATCATGGTTATTTGAAGCACATTTCAGTCACTATGCAGTTTTGCATCGGTCTAACATACAATGATTCCCAAAATAATGTACTTTTCAGGAATTATGAGCTTTAGGACTCCATACCAGCAGAGGCATTCAAAAGCCGTAGTCATTGTAAACAAATGTTAACATCAAAATCAAAGAACTAGTTAACTAGTGAATAAATGAGCACTGAAGCAGGGTTAGTCTATACTTGTTTCACTTAGAGAAACGTTAAGTACTGTACCTCAAGAAAACCAAGCTCAAAATTCAAATTAGGAATGTCTCCATATCTTTTTCTGATTTTTTTTTTTTGATGAATAGGAATATCTCCATATCTTGAAATAACCAACTTAAGAAAGGAGTCTTGAAGTTGGGTTACTCAATACTTCTTTCACTAACAACAAGAGTAACAGGAGGTATTCTCACTTAAACCAAGACCAGAGATTAAATTAGGATACTTTAATGTGTTTGAAAGTTGAAACTAAGATAATTCATAATTCGATGGGTTCTCCACTTGAACAAACTTCTTTACCCATTGAAGGTTTACCTAATCAGAGATGCATGCATCATAATCAAGTTCCCTACTATAACAGAGATCGTGTAATGTGGTGTAAGAACAGTAATACATATTAGCTTAAGATAAGTAATGGGCAAATATAGCAACTAAAATATATATGTATTTTTTTGCTGACTACAATTGTAGAATGGGTAATGCCATGCCAAATATGGTATTACCGTGCCATCTAGGTTTTCATTTGCTTTATTGATAAAAAACTGTTAACAATCAACCATTTATAGCTGAGCTATAAGAACACAACCCAGGTTAAAATACGCCGAGTTGCTCAGTTCAGTTCGGTTCCATAGCAGAACCTGGAACCTACCCTGTAGAGGTCGGTTCCAGGATTTTGGAACCGGAACCTACCCTGTGAAGGTCGGTTCTGGCCTTAGCGGTTCCAGTGTTGGTTCCAGGGTCTTCCCGTGGAACCTGTTTTTTCTTTACCGTCCCCCTTAAAAAAAATAAATAAATATATTCTTATAAAAACTTGACTTTCAATAAATATAATATATAGTTTAAAACTTACATTGTTTTTATTGTTGAAATTGAGTAATTTAATATATAGATTATCATGATATATTAATGTATTGCTCAAAACTTATCATTATAATTTAAATTTTGTAAATATTAACTTTTACATTATTTTTATACACATTCAAATATTAAAATGAAAACAAATGATCAAATCACTTAACTCAATGGTCAAGTGAGACCATGGCCTTTTTAACCATGAGTTGTTTATGTTTAAATCTTTCACATCCTTATTTTGTGATTTATTTCAAGGCCAGTTCATCGGGTGGGTAAACCCTTAGACTCTAGAACCGGCCCAAGAATTTGTAACCATACCCTATCCTGTATCAAATTGGCCAGAGTCGGTTCTAAGGCCAGTTCGAGGTCGGTTTCATTCGGTTCCGGGTAGAACTACCCATGGGTGGGCATACAGTGTTGCTAGATACTAAATTACAGAGACAGGATATCATCAGCAAACCCAGAACCAGTTATCCTGAATCAAACAATTTCCGGAACTACTTCACTCAAATATCATATTTTCAAGTAATATTGACCATTCTAAATGCAACAAACCATCAGCTAAATCACTGTACGAGAAACCCAGTAGGCTCAAGTCCGACATACAGAGCAAATCGCCCTGGTAAAAGCTCACAGTCCATTTGAGCACTCGAAGACCAGGCATATAATATCAGATTTCAGGTATGGAATTAGATGAAAAACCGCAGATAGTGGTCATTCTGGTAATGCCTTGGCGGCAAAGATGAGAGGAGATAGCATTCAAAAATTCAAAACAACATGGTTTACGAGAATAGCTCTTCCGTTTCTATTTCATACCTGATTTATTGTTTGTGAAGCACGGAGAGGAGCAGAAATGCAGAGGCACATCGAGGAAGCCATGTTCTTACTCCTTACTCCCGATTCCTTCTATACCTTACCAGTTACCCTTGATTCAAGTTATATGGTTTTTTATTATTATTTTTTTTCTTCGATAAAAAATGGGAAATTTGGAGTGGAACTATGGCTCCGTTTGTTTGCCATACAAACGCCGAACCGGAGTATTTATGTGCCCCGGTTCGTGTGTTTGTGAGCGTTTATTTGATATGTAAAAAAATAATCATTCTTAGACATTTTTATAATCTATAAAAAGAGCATTATTGTACCTATTTTTTGGATACAATTTTGTGCTTTTGATAATTAACTTTTTGACCAAATACAAATATGTATAGTGCAAAACCTTATATTTTGTATTTATTTGTATTGTATATATTTATACTTGTACTCTTTTCAATTTGAGCCTATAGGGATGGCAATTTTCTCCATTTCCCCGATCCCCGTGGGGATTTGCCCCGAATGGGGTGGGGAGGGTATTCGTTCATCTCGATTCAGATTCGATTGTGATCCATATTTTCGACCCGCTTGTATTTGTATATGATATGGATTCACACATTTGGATATGATTTAACTCCAATCGGTTTTTATTTGAATATAAGATTGTAGAATGTAGATGCTCATACCGTCAATATATGCTTAAAATAATTACTTAAAATACCCTGAATTCTCTCGACAAAAAAAAGTAGTTTAAATCAAGGTTCTAAATATTGATATGCATGATGCATCGGTAGGGGAGTATCGGTCCTTTTTTACTTTTTTTTTAATTTTTTTCAAAACCGGTTCAAGGGCCGGTTTAAGGCTCCTCCACCCCCTGAACTTGTCAGAACCCCAATACACCCTCTGTAGGGGCATATCGGGGTGCTCCCGATACTGGCCGATATGCATTAATACTTTGAACCTTGCTTTAAATGTTTGAGAACCTACTTAATAACCCACAATGTATGACATAATAATATAACTAGTGGGGACTTGTGTGATGCATGGGATTTATTAAGTGAAAGCTAAATAATAGAAATGGTCATTTAGTAAAGTACCCTTTATAGTTTCATGGATTTACTAAAACATACCCTATAGCTAGCATTTTACTAAAACATCACTTATAATTTGCAATGGATTTAATCAATCTTTCATTAAGAATTGAAGATTATTAGTAATAAATATTAATTGTTTTGAAAGTTATTTTCTCAATTTATTACTTGATATAAGTAAAATTAGTTATTTACAATATTATGTAAAAATATTAAATTATTATTAATTATAATATTATGTTATAATTATTTTTCTACTTTTCATATTTTTTTTAGTTTATTACATAATTTCTTTATTTTAATTATTTAAAACCAATTGAGCAAACCAAAAATCAACCCAAACCAATACAACCTGATTTAGTTGGTTTTACTAATGGTTAGTAGATTTCGAGTAACCAACTCTCCAACCTGACCATGTCGATTTGGTTGGACAAATAGCCTAAATCGAATTAAACCAGGCCGTGATCAACACCCCTAATTTCATATAAATTAATATTTTAATCTCTAATAAATAAAAATAGTTTAATCTCCAATAATTATTAAACTTTATGACGAAAATACACAATTATTGAAAATATATTATCATAAATAACTAATAAAAATAAAATAAATACAAAAGCACAAAAAATACTAAAAAATATATTAAGCTAGTAAAAAAATATTGTAATCTCAAATAATAGTTTAATCTTTAATAAATATCAATGAATAAAGTACAACAAAAATACAATAAATACAATACATATAATAAATTAAATTTAAAAAGTTAAATAATAGTAGTTTAATATTCAATAATTATTAAATTTTTTTTGTTAAACAACAAAACAAATGTAGATTTATACATAATTATTGAAAATATATTTATAATAAAAACTATAAATAATTGCTAAAAATACAATAATTAATAATTTTAGTATATTAAATATATAATAAATATAGATTAAGATTTTAAAATCATTATTAATGATTATTATTCTTTTGAAAGTTATTTTTCAAGAATTATTAATTGATGTATGTGAAATTGATTATTTAAAATATTATTTAGTTATTTAAATAATATCCTTATCTAAATTCTATAATTTTAATTATTTATTGAATTTAACAATCTATAAAATTATAATTTATTCTATTATTACATGATTTCATTATTAATTTTGTAAAAATATTAAATTATTATTAATTTGAATATTATGTTAAGATTTTTTTTTATTTTAAGATTTTTCTATTTTATTGCACAATTTCGTTATTTTAACTATTTAAAATATAGTTATGTTAAATATTTTGTTATTTAAAATGTTTAATTATTTAAAAATTTAAATAATATATAAATTATTTAAAAATACACATTGTTTGGATTTAAGATACTTAGTTATTGAAATATTTAAACAATTAAGTATTTTTTTTATATAATTATTTAGATATTTTTTGTATTTTGTTATTTAAGATATGTAGTTATTGAAATATTGAAATAGTATTTTATTTTTTAATGTTAAATTTCTATTATTTGAATAACATTTAATTTGAATAATCTGAAAAATGATAATTTATACTGTTAGTACATAATTTCGTGATGAATTTTGTACAACTATAAATCTATCAATAATATGAATATTATTAAATCTATTGTAACTATTTTTTGTGTTTTGAATAAATATTTTGAAGTTTATACTATTATTACATAATTTCATTATTAATTTTATATAAATATTAATTTGAATATTATGTTGTGATTTTTTATCTTGAGATTTTTTTATTTTATTGATAACTTCATTATTTTAACTATTTAAAATATAGTTATGTTAAATATTTCGTTATTTATAATATTTAGTTATTTAAATATTTAAATAATATATAAAATATTTAAAAATACTCACTGTTTGAATTTAAGATATTTAGTTATTGAAATATTTAAACAATTATTATTTTTATTTAATTATTTTGCTATTTTTAGTATTTTATTATTTAAGATATTTAGTTATTGAAATATTAAAATAATATTTTATTTTTTAATGTTAAATTTCTATTATTTTAATAAAATTTAATTTGAATAATCTGGAAAATCATAATTTATATTGTTAGTACATAATTCTATGATGAATTTAGTAGAAATATAAAACTATTTATAATATGGATATTATTAAAACTATTATAGTTATTTTTTTATGTTTTTAATAATTATTTTAAAGTTTATTAGAGATAATTTTGAGAAAAATTTTATAATGTAAACTTTCTTTACATAGATATAGATAAAAAGTGGCAAAGAGAATAAATAAGAATTAGAGATAATTTGGAGAGAAATGCTATAGTAAATTAGAGATAAGTTTAGAGATAAATAGAAATTGGAGATAATTTAGGAGAAAGTGGGGGAGGTAGTTTAGGATAAATTTTAGGAGATGAGAGATTTTAGATAAATTTTCATGAGGAATGAGAGCATATCATTGGTTCTTTAAAAAATGACATGGAATAAAAAATAAAAAATGAGAAAAATGAGAATTTCTTCACTGCTTTATTTTACATACTACGGCCCCCCTTCATGGTCGGATTGGTAGGGTTTGTGTCAGCTTTGCCTCTATATTAATATAAATTGGGTAAGAAGATTTTGTTGTTTTTATTCAACAATAAAATTAATTTACTTATATTAAACTACTTTAAAACCCAAAAATACTAAAAAGATCTTACTATGGTTTGAGAAAAATAGAAAATGAACAAAGAATAAAAAATATGTATAAAAATATTTTGTATATAAAACATTATCAAGTCACACTCAAGCTTAGGCTAGGTCTTTTTGAGAAAATCCCATGTCTAGCCCCAAAAAAATCAGACCTAGTGTTTGATAAAAAAACTATATGCTTTATTGGAATTTATATTTGCATCCATTACAACCGAAAACCTGTTTAGTAAGAAGGTAAAACTGTTGGTGCAAAACTAACCCAATTTTACAATTTATATAAACTATTTTATAGTTTATATTTGCATTCACACTTATTTCCGTTGTTTCCAACAGCGTTGAAGAAAATATTGAAATCTCAAAGATTAAGAGTGTCTTTCTTGCAAACTTTAGGAGTTAAATGTCACTACTCAAAAGAAAAGGTGTTAATTTGTAATTTACCCAAAAAATTCTCTTGCAAACCAACGGATACCAACTGAGTCTTGTTTACTATAGCTATCGTCTATCGATGATCAACCCAATTTTCCCAGACAACGTGGGAATGAAAACCAGTAACAAGATTAGTGCAGACTGCAGACCAAATGTGGCGGCAAAACTGTTTCTCGGTATAGCTCACTTCAGGACCGCATCCCCCTTACTTCCTTCTCCCTTCTTTTTCTTCCGCTCAATTTCCATCTCACCGGCATACTTGTCAACTAGATTTATGTGTGTGTGTGTTTTGATGCTTAACTTCTCATTTGGATGTTTTCCTTGTCGAATTTGTTCGGCTGTGTTTGCAGGAAAATGAAGATTCGGATCAAAGCATCTCAGGTGCTTTTACCATGGCATTTTCGGTGATCTCGAAATCTGACAAACGAAAAATGGAATGGTGATATTCAGGATGAATTCGTATGGATTAATATTTTGTTTGTTTGTTATTTGGCAGATGGCGAAGACCCTGAGGACGAAAAGTCCTTATGTAGACCTGAAAGGACGAAGGTTATTCACAATTATTGAATGATTTGTCGATTCAGTCTCTATGGTCCACCCCTTTTTTCCTGATAGTTTCTAGAATTTGTGTTATTAATTAGATTATATAGTACTGAGAAAACCAGGTTCAAGATTTAGTCGCCTACGTACTGGGTTATAGTTTTGATTTATGTTAATTACTTAGAAGATAGAACTCTAATTGTTCTGCTGGGTACTGAACTGGGCATTAGACTAACGACGTAATAATTTAGAAAACTCTAGATTTTATTGGGGTGGAGAATTTGAAGACAAACCTATATGATTAGTTCCATTTTATTCGTGTATAGAACAGAAGGGCCATGTCCAAATGATGGTCCCCGCAATCCGGGGTCTGAGGAGGGGTAGACTGTATAGGGACCTAACCTTTGACATTTTTTTTTTCACAGAATTGCCGCTCTCAGACTAGAACCTGTGTTATCACAGAAATAACCTTTTTTCAAAAGAAAACATGCAACTTTATTTTAACTACATTTTTCAATTAAGTATTTTTTAAGGTAAAATGCAAATTATAGTTCTGAATTCTGATGTTTTACTTGTATAGGATCAACTACCAGTTCTATCACAACTTGAGACACTTAAAGGTATAGTTGATGGTTCCATTCTTATGCTGCTGATTTTATTATAGATTTGTGTAGTTTCAGTAACGATAGCTAATTTATCACAATTGAATTCTTCTGGTTTACACTTTACAGAATGTGAACGTCCTCCTGGAGTGGGCATTGATGAATTGGGTTTTGGAAGGGAAAAGAGTTGGAGGTCATTTCAGGCATGTTTTACTTGAATCTGGTTTTATTTGTGAACCATCTAATCTTTTCTAAGCATTTATGTATGACAACATTATTAAATTACCATGCTCAGAAGCATATGGGTGCCTCTTTTGAGGAGTCTGAATTGCCTGGTCTCCATGATGGCAAAGGGGAGAATGCATTCGCACACAAGTCTTATGATGAGGAAAGGATCTCTGATGATGAGGTAGGTGTTAGGATGAGACTTAGTCTTCATGCTCTATAGATTAGTCTTTTTGGTTATCCATGCTAGGTATATATTTAAACCTGGAACTATGGAAATAGAAACTTGGAATTTGTTGTTAGGGAAGCCTTATTCATTAGAATGTTATGGAACTCTATTATTTTTGGAATTTTCTGCCTATGCCATTCATTCTCTTATAATTATGTTGTGTTTATGTGTTTATTGTGCACTGAGCTTCAAATAATGTGGTGCTATATAATTACGCTCTTTAGTGTTCATTACACAAAAAACTTTCAGAGGACCTCTATCTTTTTTCTTCTTATGAAGAAAAAGAGAGGAACTAGAGGCTTAAAAGCCTCAGAACTGGAAGAAATCTTTGTTAATTGTGATGTTCTCTTTATTTTCAAACACTATAATTACCAATATTTATCTGTGTTCGTTTTGGTATTATTTGGCAATCATCATCATCATCATCAAATCCTTGTGCCAACTTTATGGGGTTGGCTACAGGAGTCCTGTTTTCCATTCCATCCATCCATTGTTAAATTGTGGGCCCTTAAATCATTTGTCACTACTTCAATCCATGTCCTTATTCATCAAAAAAAGAAAAAAAAATGTCCTTTTTGGCCCACCCCTAGTTCTTCCATCCCCATCAACTTGTAATAGGCCGCTTCTTCTTACTGGTGCCGTAGATTAGTAAGGACTCTATGTTCATTCATTGATTTAAAGGACAGATCTTGTCATGAATTTTATGGAGAAAAACTTAAGGCTTTTCTCCTCTTTTAACTTTGTGCTGCCGATGCACTGTCATATGTTGAAGGTGACATGGGCAAGGTTGAACTTTTGCACCTTATGGATAGTGCCTGTATGCTAGATCTGCCCATAATGTATGGTTTAGGTTGGAAATATTCTGTGCAACTATATAATCTAATTTGCAGGATACTAATACAACTCCTGTGATTTGTTGGAGAAGGATTACAACATGGTCTCAAAGTTTTCTGTGATCTCTGGAGCAAACAAGTTTCAGAAAGATCATCTCCATATTCTTGAGAACGAGAACAAAAATGAATCATGCATACAGTCTGCAGTTCTTAAAGAAGCTAATAAATTTCTATTTTCACATAAAGAGGATGGCAATTATTCTTTCCATACTGCAAATTCTGAGACCAGGAAAATCTGGAAAGGTATTCTTCCTATCCTATTACGGATGATACAAGGATCTTGTCCTTCATTCCACTTGCTATGTGTTATCAATTGGAGCCTTTTAGGTCTACCATCCACCTTATTTCAAGGAGACAATGAAGAGGCTGTTCCTATTTCCTCTGGTTTGAAATTTAACTATGCTTTTGGCCTTTTAGCCTCCTATTTGTTTCATAATTTCCTTCAAAGGTTCTACTTTAAAATTGGTTTCCTTTGGCTTCTTGCTATTTTTACACCTTTTTCCTGGATAATTTCTTTTCTATTTACATGTAGTATTTTCTTATGATCTCCAGCTCTAAAAAGTCTAAACATGTTTATGTTTTGCATCAATAGATGGATTTATCGACATGCCCATATGCTTTTTTCTCAAAATGGTATCCCAAATATTATCCATATGCACCAAAATAGTTTCCCATGGATATGAATTCTGTACTATGAAAAGTTTTACACATCAAAGTGGTCTTCATCAAAATATCTGTAGACCTTTTACTTAGGAGTTATGGGTTTTGGAGTATGTAGCAAACATGGGTGTGTATTATAGACACATAGACATACACACATATCATGAAGTGGTAAACAAATGTCATGATCTTCTGTCAGTCTGTGTAAATCAGGAAAGAAAGTTTTAATTATGTGATGCAGGAGCTGAGCAAAAAATTGGAGTTTCTGAAATTTTATGTATTTTTTTTTTTATTTTTGGACATAAGGGATATTTTTGTCATTTTACAAATTTTCTGTGGGGTCCAATGATATGGTCTGATTTGTTTAGTTATGGTTTGGTCATGTTTAAAGTTTCAAGGGCATTGAATAAGTAGTATAAGAGTTATTGAGTCTTCTTTGCATTGAAATAGGATAGTAGGCTTTTGTTTTTGAATCATGGCAGGATTCTTATGAGTCTAACAGTTTGAATCCTAGGATTCTTATGAGTCTAGAGTCTATAAATATGTATGGGCGTTTTACACAAAGATCAATGAAATTATCTAATGTAGGTAGAAGCAAAGTGAAGCCCAGGTTCTCCATTCGCCACTGGTTACACAAGGAAGCGACACCCCCATTGTTGATGATGAAGGATGAGGATAATAAATCATCCAGTGTTCCTAAACTGTACGAGGGATTGGGAAATCTTGAGCATAAAGTTATGGGACATTCGATGACTGAGCTTCTTGAAGGTTTGCAGGAAGAAAAAGAGACACAATCTGACCTTCATCTGGGATCTGTTGAAAGAGTCACTCCTGGACATGGGAATTTGGAGCATTCAATGACTGAGTTTCTGAATGGCTTTCAGGGCCAAAATTGTGAACTGAAACGGACCTATAAGATGGTTTGTGTTATTCCCTGACCAATTATTTGATACCTGTGTAGTTCTCTGTCTGATTTGGTTGTTTGGTGCAGAATAGTAAAACAAAAGGAAGAAAGTTATGGCCTGGTGCAAAGAGAAATATATCTCACCTGGGTGATCGAATCCTTCAGAATGAAGAACTCCATGAGCTCATTATTAGTGAAACATCAAGCGAGGATGAGGTGTCCCTTTGTGATTTTTATTTTTGATCTTTGAATTTGTCTCCTATCATTGCTTAATGCTTCATTAATACAGACTGTAAATCCTCTAATTCAGGCCAATGATCAAAATCAACTAAAACTGACAACTGTAGAAATTAAAGGGCAAACAATGGCTGATAGATTCCAGGAAGCTTTGATTGCTTCAGCTGCAACTGAAGGGGGGAGCTTCTATGTGACATCTAAAAAGATAGGGTGAGCACAATTGACCTATCACCTACAGTAGATACTGTTAGCTAATTGCAAGGAAAAGGAAAATTTCTAATTCCAATGCACTTATATGCCTGCCAAATGTGCAGAACTGGATATTATGGAAGGCTGCAGCAAGTCATGCAGGCCGAAAAGGAAAGACATATGGAATTCTTGAAGCAGGTGCAGACATCAGCTAATTCACATGGTAATTCTACTCTTCTTTGTCCCCTCTATTTTAATTTTAATATGTTGTTATATATACATGGTTTTTAGTTGGAAGCACGAAAAGAACTTCATATAAGGAAAACAAAGCAGAAACTTTGTTTGGCATACATCATACATGTATTCATGCACTTGATGTTTATGATGACTTCCCCTTGTTTCTTCAGATGCAGTGGGATGCATTGATGTTAAAATATTGTCAAGATACTTGGATGCAAAGTTGACAGTTTGTCAGTGTACTGTTGGTGAAAACACTAAGGTGTGTATATTTTTTGACATTATGAATGCTGAGGCATTCAATCTTGCTTTATCTTGGTTATAAGAGTAGTAGATAAGACATTAAGGGTCGAATAATGGCATGCCTGTTGTTTTATACTGCATAAACAAGACCCATTTTCGGTGGCTAATCAATGTCAATTGGCACAATTATATAACATCTATTAGGGGCACAAGTTGGGTACCCGATTTGAATAGGGGTGCAACTTGGGTTGGCCCAAGTTAGCATTTTACACTGCTTTGGGCTCAGGCCCATTCAGATTTTGGCAAAAGCCCAACCCGATCCTGCTCAAGTTGCACCTTTAGATTTGAACAATTTACATCACCAGGCCCAGGTCCCTTCACATTTTAACAAATGTTCAACCTGATCCCACCCAAGTTGCACCCCTAACAGCTATAATGAAATATTCCATAAGCCATAGTAGCTGCTACTATTTATGAATCATTTGCCTACATTTGTAGCTGGTCAGCTATAATTGGATACACATAATTGTATTGTGGGTAGGATGATTGAATCTAATGATTAGCTTTAGCTTGTTTCAGCAGAGCTTGCAATGTGCACAGAACCTCCAAGGGATTAAGGGCAAAGGAGATGGGGAAAAGACCATTATCTTCAGTTCAAAATTTTGTGGAAATGTGGAGCTTGAAGTGGGAAACTTGATACGCATTCACCCTCCATGGTATAAATTATAGAACTGCCACCCTTCTTTCATGGACCTTCACTCTTTAAGTATTGATAGAAGGGAAATATTCTTACACTGTAGTTTGATGAGACATTATATTCAGTCCATGCCTCCATTGATTTTGTTCCTCTTCCAAGACGTAGAGAAAACCATTTTTAATAGACCTCCGTTTGGTTGGTATTGCACTTCAGCACAACTGTACCACAGGAATCACTGGAAGTACATCTCAGAGTTTTGTGTTCATGGTAAATTAGTAGACATTTGACCAAAATGGGTGCTGAACAAATCCTGTTCAACCTGTAACTATACCAGATTACCCATTGATGATCAAGTATGTCAGTAGATTCAGTACATGACAAATATTTAAAGCAAATTAAGTCCAATCTACTTAGGTCAATTGGGATAAATCCTAGGTCATTCAAGCAGCAAATCTGTCGGGACATGCAATTAAATCTGTCTTTATGCAGATTTCGTCTGGAAGCCACCTGACAATCAAGGAGATCATTATCAGCTTACCAGTTAGATTTGGTGGGGTCTTTCCTTGTTTTACAATTATGGTGTGATTGGTGATAAAGGTGCTACTGAACTACTGTAGCTCAAGCAAAATATTGCCTCAAGTTTGGTGAATTGCCAATTACAATCAAGCTAGATGTTTATGGTATAATCTTGAAAGAACACTAAAAATCTAAACAAGTATTGTTCTGAACCTTTTGAGCAGGAAAGAGGTAAAGTCTACAGGGAGTGGTAGCATAATTTTGTGTACATATTTCTCCCAGATTGAGACGTGAGTCCAAATTCCTTTGCCAAGAGAGCATGTAAGCTTCATTCGCTACTGTGCTATTAACTTTTCAGCATGCTGTTTGCAGTAATTCTACTCCACTGCATCTCTCACCATTGGCTCTTCTTAACATGCAGTTTGAACACATTTTCAGATTCTAACTACTTTCTGCAACCAAGTGAAAGTCGCAATTGTGTCTGCAGGAGGCAGGATATACCACCTATTTTGATATCTATCTGCTTGTAAATTGAGAAACTCCTTTTACTTCAGTTCTTTCTATTGCTCTTTTAGAAGAAAAAGAAAATTCCTTTCTAGGATCTCAATGCATGTCTACTTAAATTTTGATTGTTCACATTGTTGTCCGTGAGTTTGATTTTTTGTAATGAAAATTTTGACTGTGTTGGTTCATTTTGTTTGAAAGTTTTTCACTGGAGGAGTTAATGGAAACTTTTTGTGATGCGCAGCTTCTCAGTTGTTCCAAATCCTTGTCCCAACAGCCTGGTCTTACATGCAGTCCATCAATAATCTGGACTATTCTATATACCCAAAGCCCACCTAAATCGCCAGGCAGAAGCTGTTGTTTCCACAAGCAGTTCACATCAGGTGAAGTCTGTTCTGGCTCATTCATTTTCAATGAACCCCAAGATGGCTAGGACCCAGTTTGTTGATTCAAATGGTTCCAAGATGCCTGCTTTTAAAAAAAAAAAAAAACTCCACGTGTTCATTACATCATCTTCAAGCTTCCAAGTTCCAACAACACTCAATCTTACGACAAGAGAAAATCCTTTATTCTAGTCACTTTTTTTTTCCATAGCTCAGCTTGGAAAGAGTACAAATATGTAGAGTGCAATGATAGTCCCTGATACAACAAAGATAAAAGAGTATGAAGTGGCAAAACATTTGCCATGGTGTCTGGAGAGGCCCTATTTGTATGTGTGGGCTCTCATTAACGTTAGAAAAATATTCTTGTTGGGGAGTCCAACGGTTACGAGATCAGCTTGGATTTAGCATCATTTGGAGATGTTCTGCCCGTTGTGTTAAGTATAAGTGGCCACTAGGTAGGATTAAGTGCCCAGAAATTTTCAACCATCTAGCCAGCCTATTGACTATGCCAAGCAAGTGGGGTTTACATGGCAATAGTTTGTTTAGTAACAAAAAAGAAAATCACACAAAAAGATATATAAATAATAAATAAGAATAATACTGCATTAAACATAAATATGTAGAGTGCAAAACCTTATATTTTGTATGTATTTGCACTGTACATATTAATATTTGTATTCCTTCTAAACTTAGCCTAAGGTGGTGTTTGGTAGCATTGAATCAACCTCCAAACACCAAAATTTTTACTTTTCGATGCTTTGGGGTCGTTCGACAGCACCTCCTAACTCATAATCTGAAATCTGAAAATTCCTTTGAATTGTTCAGCGGGTCTGCTACCTCCGAACATGCTCAGAGGTAGCGGACTATATTTTGTTCTCCAAAATACCCATTTATATTTTCTTTCTCCTCTTCCCTCCTCCCTTTCTCCTTTGTTCCTCCCTCCATCGTCTTCTTTTGTAACAAGGATTGTCGATTGCCCTTTGTAACAACTTAACAGGAATCGCCAACTGTTCTTCCATCTTCTTCTCCTCCTCTATTCATCGGCGACATAGGATTGCCAACTATCCTCTGTAAGAGCATAATAGAGATCCCGATCGTCCTATGGAGGATCGCCGAACTAGGATTGTCGATTGTTTTTATTCTCCCATCTCTCCTCTTCTACTTCTTCACTGTGATGAATAGTGGAGTGACGGATCAGGATTGCCGATTGTCTTTGTTCTTTGTAACAAGGATGGAGAAAGTTAAAAAAAAATAATCAAATAAAAACAAGAGGATGAGAGAGAATGAGAATGAGAACGAGAATCAGGTAAAACAAATGGAGAGATGGGAAGGGAAGGAGGAGCAGTGGCACTGTTCTTACCATTGCTACTTGCGAAGCAGAGTAGATGTGTCCCCTCAAAAACAAAAGCAATAGATTTTTTTGAGAGAAAAAGTTCTCTTATGTGTGCCTCTATCAAATATTAAGAAAAAATGATTGACCCCCAACCCTCTTTTCCTTCTTCACTCCGTTAAAACTCCATTTTTTGTTGCAACCTTAAACTCCATTTTAACCTTTTTTATTTATATTTTTCTCCTTTTTCTCTTTCTTTATAATTCTAATATTTTCTATAAAAAATTAAGATGATGTTTTTATTAATAATTTGATGCTTTTTAAAATTTTTTCATCATTTTCATTTATTGGTTAACCATTTAATAACTTTTTGTATTTATTTTATGGTGTTTAATTATTTTATTAAAATCGTTGAATATTTTAATTATCCTTATATTTAATATTTTTTATTTATTGGCAAAGAAATTTTTGATATTTTACACTTTTTAAATAATAAAGGCAAATTTTATATCTTACATTATTTTTTATTAGTATTATGATATTATTAATATTATTTTATTTTATATTTTTTAATAATATTATTTATTAAATGTTTTATAATATGAATCCTTTTTATTACTCTTTTAATGTGTATTTTAATTATATTCATTTATTTTTATTTAAATAACAACTTTGAGGGGTAAATTTGTAAAATACAGAGTTTTCAGACATTACAACATTCACATTACCGAAAAACTCCATTGCATTCAGATGCTTGCAAAAGTGGAAAAGCAAAATTGTCACTGAATATTTCATAGTTTTTTCATAGGTGTTTTTGCTTTTTAGACTTTGAACTTCAAATTTACTGAATGCCGTCTAAAGCTGTATTTGGTTGTAATGCATTGATGCAAAACTATGGCAGTGCAAATTATTTGAGTGTAAATTCTGACATTTTTGTTTCAAATTTTAGCTTATTTTGTTTGATTGCAATACAAATAAAATAAATTAAGACATAAGCAGAATAAAGTAAAACCCAAAGCAAAATTAAGTGAGAATTTGCATTTTTTTCATTTGCACTCCCATGCATTTGTGTAAAATTGCACTGCAACCAAACACGGCCTAATGGACATGTTTATCCATTGGTGTAGGCTATGCCATTGGTTGTAGGATTCAGATTGAGGGCATATCGCTACTCGCTTCAACATGCAAACCTTGTATTTTGTAAGTATTTGTAATTTACATATTTGTGTACTCTTTCCAAATTGAGCCAAAATAAAAACTTGATAATTTGCATTAATTGATAAAAAAGTTCAAAATATTGAGATTAGAGATCACAACCGTTTTATTTTTTCCTTTTCATATTTTCCGCTTGGAGGAAAGTTGTTAACACATGGATGGGACAAAATTGCTCTTTTTAGTAATGGACTTTCATGGCTAAAATGGTCATTGTCTTATTTACTTGGGAAATACTTACCTATGTAAGTGTATTTACCTGGACAAATAACTTACCAAAAAGCAAGGGGCCTTAATGGCTCACCCTTTCAATAGATAATGAATGAAAACCAACTATGCTTCTGCACAACAGAAGAATAATGAACCTTGTCTCTAGACTCTAATGCTACGAGCAGCACGTCCAACAATGAAGCCTAACTTGAAATGAGACCGGCTTCAGTTGGTGCAAGTCTATGCTCACATCGTTCAACAGCTTCTTGCAACCTTGCATTAGGAGTATCTCTCCATAAAATAAATACGTACATATGGAGATATTCCCAATGGAAAGCTATAAAGGCTATTGGAACGGGCATTGCACTAACCGAAGCACTTCAAACTGGGTCGATGGAGTCACATCCTTAATAAAATAACCCCCTTAGTATTTGTCAAAATCTCATTTTCTCTAAGCTATGTTTGGTTTGAAGGAAAAGGTAAGGAAAAGAAGGGAAAGACAGGGAAACCTATACAACTCACGTTCATGGTTGGCTGAGGGTGGTTGATATTCCACCAGCCTTGACTGTCAGATGTTTTAGGACTATGTAAACATTGGTTTGTAGTAAGTATTATAGTTATTGTGCCTCATGTCCACAACATTTGAGATTTTTTTTAAACCTTAATGTGAATACATGCATCTTGCTAAGTATTGTCATACTGTGGATAGATGGTAATGGTATAAATCTATTATTGTTATTGTTTGTAAGTAGCAAATCCGCTTCCAATAAAGATTTGTCCTTTGGACTTGTGGTTCCGTGCCATATGGTAATATGAAATATAAAGTTTCATGTCATGTCATCATCATCATCTATGTCTTATCGCAACCATATGAACTCTGTTACATGAATCATGTTTTACCGATATCTTCTATTTAAAGTCATATTTGTTGTTAAATTATTAATATTTAAGCCATCTCTTACTACTTTTACCCCGTAGCTCTTCTAGCCTCTTTACTTAGCACATATCACTTTTAACAGGAGTTGTTGGTGGTCTTTTATACATGTAACAAAACCATCTTAATCTATTCTCTCTCATTTTATCACTTACTGAATATATAGATGCCTTCATTCCTACTCATATCCTTTCTAGTTTTTCTATTCATCCATCTTAGTATTCACATTTGTATCACTTATTTTATCACCATGTGGTAGTGTAAATCTATTATGTTACTAGCATAATATAATAGATTGGTCTATCTTCCTAGGATTTTTAAGCTTGCCTTTTTTTTATAACATCTTTCTGTAAATCTTTTTTGTACAAGTTTATGCTTCTATTGTAACCCATAAGCACTCCAATAGTCTAATCACACTTGTTTGTTTTTTTTTTTTTTTGCAAGTGCATGCCTCGCCCACAGCCTTGCACGGAAACATCTCCCAATGAATGACAACAATAAATAGTAAATTATACAAGAGATCTTTCTGATGTGCAGCTATAAAGTGGTGTGTGCAGTGTTTTGTGGTCAGCAGATCTACACTCCTTTTTGCAAAATATGACAAATAAGCTTAGTTTTTCATCTAGTCCACCCTCAGGCCCTCGCAAAAGACCGTATATGGTTTGGAACAAATATTGGGTAATGGCCCTTTTTATATTCAATATTCAATTGAAACCATCTTAATCTTTCTTTCAAGCTTGGT